GGGGTCATCTACCCAAGGCTCCCAGCCCGACCCCCGGCGCATAGTGGAGCTGCCTGCGCCCGCTGACTTCCTCAGTCTGAGCAGTGAGACCAAGCCCAAGCTGATGACACCTGACGCCTTCATGACACCTAGCGCCTCCCTGCAGCAGGTGTGCTGGGGGAGGGGTGTGGGGCGCAGGGCAGGGGGCCCCTGGACCACCCCACGTGCAGGCCACAGCCTTACTCTCCTGCATCTCCCCAGATCACTGCGTCCCCCAGCAGCTCCAGCTCCAGCTCCAGCCCCAGCTCCTCCTCTCTTACAGCCGTGTCTGCCATGAGCAGCGCCTCCGCTGTGGAGCCGTCCTTGCCCAGGTGAAGCGACGGTCAGAGTTGGGGGATGGCGGGGGCTGGTGCCAGGTGATGCCAAGCTCTGGCTGCTACACCTCCGCCTTCCTGCCAGCAGGCCGCCTGAGGAGCTGACCTTGAGCCCCAAGCTGCAACTGGATGGCAGTCTGGCGCTGAGCAGCAGCAGTGGCCTGCAAGCAAGCCCACGCAGCCTCTTGCCCGGCCTGCTCCCAGGGCCAGCTGACAAACTGACTCCCAAAGCACCTGGGCAGGTGTGTGTGTGGGTGTGTATGAAGTGCAGGGTGGCAGGTATGTGGTAGTGGGAAGCTTGGTGGCACTTTCCTCCCACAGCACCTGAGGTCGTTCCCTGAGGTCATCCCAGCCTCCCCTGTTCCCTGGAGGGCAGCTTTTCAGCCTGTATCCATCCCCCCCTCCTCTCCTCCTGGGCTGTGGGAGTTTTGACCTGAATCCCCCTTCTCCACTGTCCCGTCGCTGCAGACGTCAGGCCTCTTCTGTGTGCCCCCCACCCCCACACCCCACCACCTAAGCCCCATCTTTGCTCCGCCTCAGGTGCCTACTGCTGCCTCTGCACTGTCCCTGGAGCTACAGGAAGTGGAGCCCTTGGGGCTACCCCAGGCTTCTCCCAGCCGCACCCGCTCCCCTGATGTTATCTCCTCAGCTTCCACTGCCCTGTCCCAGGACATCCCTGAGATCGCCTCTGAGGCCCTGTCCCGTGGTTTTGTCTCCTCTGCTCCTGAGGGTCTTGAGCCAGACAGTATGGCCTCAGCTGCCTCAGCGCTACACCTGCTGTCCCCACGGCCCCGGCCGGGGCCCGAGCTTGGCTCCCAGCTTGGCCTGGATGGAGGCCCTGGGGATGGGGATCGGCACAGTACCCCTTCCCTTTTGGAGGCAGCATTGACCCAGGAGGCCACAGCCCCTGACAGTCAGGTCTGGCCTACGGCACCAGACATTACTCGTGAGACCTGCAGCAGCCTAGCAGAGAGGTGAGGAACCTGGGAGGGGAACGTGTGCTGGTGGGAGGGGTTCCAGGTAGAGTCATCCGCTGTTGAGTTGGCCTGTTCCTTCAGTCCCAGGAATGGCCTCCAGGAGAAGCACAAGAGCCTGGCCTTCCACCGCCCACCTTATCACCTGCTGCAGCAGCATGACAGCCAGGACGCCAGTGCTGAGCAAAGGTGGGTACCACCCTACACTGTTCCTCTCATGAGGGAGGGCCCGCAAGTGGCTCGGGGCTGATTTTTCTCCCTCCCCTTTTCACAGTGACCATGACGATGAGGTGGCTAGCCTTGCCTCTGCCGCAGGAGGCTTTGGCGCCAAAGTTCCCCCTCCACGGCTACCGGCCAAGGACTGGAAGACCAAGGGTTCTCCTCGAGCCTCACCCAAGCTTAAGAGAAAGGGCAAGAAAGATGACGGGTAGGGGGTGGGGTCCTGCGGCCCGGGAGAGGGGTGGTCCTCCGGCTGCCCTGCGTGACATGGCCTGAGGCGCTTCTTGTCCATGGCAGGGATTCGGCTGTGGGATCCCGGCTCATGGAGCACCAGGTAAGTGAAGTAACGGCCTTTCTATTTCTGAGACTTCTCCCTGTGAGGATGGGGGAGAGCTCTGGGCCATTCCCTGGTCTGGTGCGTGGGAATGTATGGGGCAGGCATCACCTGCCTGTCGCTGCTCTTGGCAGGTGGCAGAAGCTCCTGAGGACTGGCCAGCACTGATCTGGCAACAGCAGAGGGAGCTGGCAGAGCTGCGGCACAGCCAGGAAGAATTGCTGCGGCGTCTTTGCAGCCAGCTTGAAGGCCTGCAGAGCACTGTCACGGGCCACGTAGAACGCGCCCTGGAGTCACGGCATGAGCAGGAGCGTATCCTTACGGGTCATGGCCCGGCATGGCATAGGGGTGGGGACGGCAGCAGCATTCTTGGCCCAGGAAGGGATGTGGGACCTGCCCCAGGCCTATTCCTTAGCTGCAGTGCAGAGCGGCGGCTGGAGCGGGCACTAGCTGAGGGGCAGCAGCGGGGTGGGCAGCTGCAGGAGCAGCTGACCCAACAACTGTCCCAGGCACTGTCTTCGGCTGTAGCTGGGCGGCTGGAGCGCAGCCTGCGGGATGAGATCAAGAAGACGGTGCCTCCGTGTGAGCTGGGCGTGGAGACTTCTGGGTGGGCCAGGTGGGAGTGGGGCTTCCTGTCTGCCAAGCTGCCTTTTGTGGCTCCACCTATTCCTCCTGGTCCTGCCACAGGTGTCTCCAGGAGCCTGGAGCCAGTGACAGGCCAGCTGAGCAGCTCAGTGGCCACCAAGCTCACAGCCGTGGAGGGTAGCATGAAAGAGAGTATCTCCAAGCTGCTAAAGTCCAAGGTGCTGTAGGGCCCGAGATGCGGGAGGTTGGTGGTTGGTGGGCCTGGTCATGCCAACTTGGGCTTAGCCTTTCAACTCAGACCTCCCTCTACCCCCAGAACCTGACAGATGCCATTGCCCGAGCAGCTGCAGACACGTTACAGGGGCCGATGCAGGCCGCCTACCGTGAAGCCTTCCAGAGTGTGGTGCTGCCAGCCTTTGAGAAGAGCTGCCAGGCCATGTTCCAGCAGATCAATGATAGCTTCCGACTGGGCACGCAAGAGTGTGAGTGGGGTCATATGCCTCGCGGTGGGAGGGGCTGCCCCTCTCTCCCCTACCATCCCTCTCATGGCCTCTGTGGTCGCCTTCCAGACTTGCAGCAGCTGGAGAGCCACATGAAGAGCCGGAAGGCGCGAGAACAGGAGGCACGGGAGCCTGTGTTGGCCCAGTTGCGGGGCCTGGTCAGCACACTGCAGGGCGCCACTGAGCAGATGGCGGCCACCGTGTCCAGCAGCGTCCGGGCTGAGGTGCAGCACCAGCTGCACGTGGCTGTGGGCAGGTGTGTGGTATTGGGCAGGGTATTGGGCAAGGTGCCGGGTTTGGAAAGTGCCAGACCAGACTTCCTGTCTACCTCATCTCCCTCACTTCCCTTTGCAGCCTGCAGGAATCCATTTTAGCACAGGTACAGCGCATCGTTAAGGGCGAGGTGAGTGTAGCCCTCAAGGAGCAGCAGGCCACCGTGACATCTAGCATCATGCAGGCCATGCGTTCAGCTGCTGGCACGCCTGTCCCCGCTGCCCACCTCGACTGCCAGGCCCAGCAAGCCCATATCCTGCAGCTGCTGCAGCAGGGCCACCTCAATCAGGCCTTCCAGCAGGTATGCCAGGCAGTAGGTCCAGGTAGGGTCAGGCATCTCCTGACAGGGCCCACATACCATACCCTACCTGCCAAGCTCTGGGTGGTCTGGCCCCAGTACACTGTTCTTGATTCTCTTTGGCTTCAGGCCATTTCCCCTTCTTTCCCCTTTGCCTGAACCCTTTCGAAATTTCTACCTCTGCTTACCTTGCTTCATGAGCACTCCTCTTAGGAAACCTTTCCTGATCCCCCAGAGTAACAACACAGTTCTCTAGTACTGTCTCTGGGCTCCTGAGCATTCCCCCTCTGGAGCCCTCAGTACCCTCCTCTGGTCATCCTCACCCGAACCACACGGCCAGACAAGCAGGTATTCCCTTCTGACCTTAACTATAAACACTCTTCTGTCCCTAGGCCCTGACAGCTGCTGACCTGAACCTGGTGCTGTATGTGTGTGAAACTGTGGACCCAGGGCAGGTTTTTGGGCAGCCACCCTGCCCACTCTCCCAGCCTGTGCTCCTTTCCCTCATCCAGCAGCTGGCCTCTGACCTTGGTACTCGAACTGACCTCAAGCTCAGGTGAGTGGACTCGGGGATCAGGAGACAGGCTGGGGTGAAGGTGGAGGAGCAGTCCAAGCAGAGACTCCTGCCTGACTCTGCTTCCTAATTTTTTCCACCAATCCCCTCTGTCCCCATCCATCTCCGACTTTGAGCCCCCCGCTTTGTCAGCAGTCGTTCTGGGCCTCAGTGCCACCAGGGGGCGCTCCCATCTGCTGGAGCCCACCTTTATCCTGTCCCTTTCTTCCACCACAGCTACCTGGAAGAGGCTGTGATGCACCTGGACCACAGTGACCCCATCACTCGGGACCACATGGGCTCCGTCATGGCCCAGGTGCGCCAGAAGCTCTTCCAGTTCCTGCAGGCTGAGCCACACAACTCACTTGGCAAAGTGGCCCGGCGTCTCAGCCTCATGCTGCATGGCCTTGTAACCCCTAGCCTCCCTTAGCTAAGCCTGCCTTGCCCAGGGGTGGGGAGGCACTGAAGGCCAGCAGACAGGCCTAGGGCAAAAGCAGGGTCATGTCTACTCTTTTACGTGCTCAGGCTCCCACCTCGGGGGTGTTTGAGGGGAGAGCACTGGCTGTGGTCTATAGGCTGTGGTAACCAGCAGGTTTAGGCTGGGCCCAGGGTGGGTATTGTGCCTTCTTGGGTTCTGCCATGCCTGGAGCATGACCCCTGAGATCATGACACCACTTGAGTTGAATTTTCCATGTTCCTTTTTACCTCCGATTTGGATCTTTTTGTTTTTGAAAAACATTGAGAAATTCAATTAAATGCTTTTGGAATAAAATGGAGTATGTGTGTGTTTTTGGTGTACTTTTGATAAGGACCTTTGTTCTCTCTCCCCTCTCTCTTCCCTTTGTGGAGCTCTGCCTAGGCTAACCCAGGTGCCTGGACACCCACCCTCATCTGCACAGCTGCCTTCCCAGATCCCCTCTCCATCTCTGAGACAAGGGCCCTGGGGTCAGCTCTGCAGTTGCCTGTGTCCCCAGCTCTTCTCTCTGGGGTCCCTGCCCTCCTTCCCGGTCTGGGTACTGGGGCGGGGCCGCCAGCTGGCCTTGGGCCCCGCCCCCGGCTCCCATCCAATCACAATCCCTTCTTCCGGGGGCTGGGCCGAAGGGCTGAGCTTCCAAGCTGCTTCCAAGCTGCTAGCTCCAGCACTAGGCTCCCAGCCGGGGATGATGCGGGGATGATGCACAGCTATTGCTCCTGTCAGCACTGCCAGAGACTGCCCCGACCTTCCGGTGTGCTGGGGCTGTTGCTGCTATTGCTACCACTTGGTGAGTGCGGGAGTGCTGGACCCAGCTTAGCGGCTGGGCGGCACACCCTCTTCCCGGTCTAGGTATAGGGCGTGTGAGAGCTGAGGCCCAGCCTTCCTGAACCCTGGGAACCAGGCTGGAGAGGAGGTGCGAGGGCTTCAGGGAGCGGATTATACGTGCCAGTGGCTTCAGGATGCAAAATGGGCATGAACTGACACCTAGTCAAGGGGAAAGGACCCCAAAATTCCACATTGCCCATTCTGGTAAAGGGAGACCTAGGCTCTTGTGAGACCCCCTAGACCAGCTGTGGGACCCCTGAGGCCCTCTCTTAGGGTCTGACCTGGATTCTGGCCCCACCTATCCTGCTCTACCTGGCTGAGAACACCTGTCTTTGGGGATGGGGTGGGATGGCCAAGTAAGCTAGTCCAGCCTTCAGGACAGTTAAGGGAGCCCATAGCCCTGGACCCTGCCCCTCTTCTGTGTCCTGACTCCTTCACTTGGACCATCCTCACCTGATCTGTCACCCTAGAAGCTCAGAGAAAGAGCCAACCCCTTGGGACAAGACACCTCCTTCCCCCTGCTCTCCACATATCCTGTCCGGGTTGTGCCCAGAGGGGAGCCAGTGCAGGTGGATCCCCAGACATGCCCGTTGGTTCCCGTGGGTGCCTCTGTTTCACGCCTCTGTTTCACGCTGAGTCACGTCCCCCAAGCATACCAAGGTAAACAAGCCCCCAGGGGCTTGGCCATGAAGGGGGGCGGGGCGGCTCGTCCTATCAAACATTCTCCACCCCCACCCCTAGTCCTTGCATCTCCCCTGGCAGCAGCTGCAACGGGCCGAGGGGACTGTGACACCATATACCAGGGCTTCGCGGAGTGTCTCATCCGCTTGGGGGACGGCATGGGTCTTGGAGGCGAGCTGGAGACTGTCTGCAGGTAAGAGCAGGTGTGAAGACAGCCACCTAACTGTGGGACCCCCCACCACCCTGGGGCCTGAACCTTTCCCTTCCCATTACAAAAACCTCTTTGCCCCACCAAATTATCCTAACCCCAAGCCTTTAACAGGTCTTGGAATGACTTCCACATCTGTGCCTCCCGAGTCCTGTTGCACTGCCCAGAGGAGGCCACCGCTGTGTGGGAGTCACTACAGCAAGAAGCTCGCCGGGCCGCACACCCGGATAACTTGCATGCTCTGTGCGGCACCCCTGTGCGTATTAGGGAGCATGGCACAGGCCCTGAGACCAACCAGGAGACGCTGCAGGCAAGAGCATCTGCACCCACCCCCACCCCGACACCCCCGCTGCTGGCGGCTGCTCTGGCGCTCGCCTGCCTCCTGGGGCCTCTGGCCTAGCCAGTCTGGTGGAGTAGCAGCACCCCTGCCTCCTACCGGGGCTCTGCAGAGTGCTCTTGGCTTTCATTAAAGGTATTTATGTTTGTACTAAGCTCTTTCCTTTCTTCTGGCCAGAGCCAGCCCCGCTTGGTCGGGGCGGAGCCTCCAGAAGCTGATCCCCAGGGATGGATGGGCGGGGCCCATGGCCACCACAGGGGACTCAATCTTTCTACTTACAGACACTCATTTCCCAGGGCTGGCTGTGCAGTTTTCCATTGTGTGTAGGTTCCAGGAGCTCTGGTGGTGACCCGAAATCTTCCGGAATGCACAGCCTTCCTCTGTTCTCCTGGGCTGGCATTTCTACCTCCTGCCTGCCCCTCCTATTCTGGCCCCATGGGCATGTGAGGGGGTGAAGTGTCCCACCCCACCCCCACCCCCCTTGAGCCAGTTCACCACCATCCCCAGGTTCGTTCTGGCCTCCACGTTCCTGCCATCTCTGCTAACTACCATCTTGGCCTTCAAGACAGATTAAGTGCTGGGCGCCTGGGTGGCTCAGTTGGTTAAGCGACTGCCTTCGGCTCAGGTCATGATCCCGGAGTCCCAGGATCGAGTCCCGCATCGGGCTCCCTGCTCAGCAGGGAGTCTGCTTCTCCCTCTAACCCTTCCCCCTCTTGCGCGCTCTCTCTCACTCTCTCTCTCTAATAAATAAATTAAAAAAAAAAAATCTTTAAAAAAAAAGACAGATTAAGTGCTTTTTCTTCTCCCTCTCCGGGGTCCTGGTCTATCTGAGGGGAACCTGTTCCAGAAGGTGGGGAGTCCATGTTGGGGTCTATATTCAAGTCCCTGAGGTGACCTGGAGCTGCAGAAACTAGGGTCCTGATGAGGGTTCCTCCGGCCTCTGCTGTACCTTGTTCTTTGAGAAGAGGTATGCACTGTGAAGTCAATAATCCCAGAAGACGTTCTGGAAGCATGGAATGAGTATGTGGTGTGTGAGGAAACCCTGTTCATCCTGGTGGAGAAGAGCAAGAATATGCATGGGCAGAATCCTGAGGGAAGGAGGAGTCCTCAGAGAGGGTGAAACCCTCTCTCAATCAGTCCTCCACCACCACCTCTAGGACCTTACCCCAAGCCACCACCCCATGACTTGTGTGGACAGTGCCATGGCCTCACTGACTTCTGCTCTCATTCCCTCTGCTTTACCCACCCCCCCTTTTTTCTAAATTTAGAACCGATTCCGATGTTAAAGCTCCTTTTCATTGTCTATGAGGCCCTGCATAAGCCAGCTCTGCCCACAGTTGATTCAGTCCACTCCTGCGACTCCCCTCTGTCTGAGCATGGAGCAGGAATCTACCTACTCAACAGTCCTTGGCATCAGGGGAGGCTTCAGGGAAGGCATGTGATGGGGGGTGATAGAGGAGGTCAGGATGTGAGACTTACAGGTGGTAGAAGAGAGATGGGGCTGAGTTGGAGAGGGCTTTACAAGAGGAGCCCAAAGGAATCAAGGTAGGAATCTAGAGCTTAGCAGGCTAGGTTTACACTAAAACCCCCCATGCTGGGGGGTACTGCCTCCAGGACAGAATCAGCCCTAACTGAACCCTTGTTTGGCTCCAGGGTGACAGGTGCCTCCAAAGACCTCCATCCTCGTGTGTAGGAGCCCTACTTCATCCATTCTTCCCAAACACCGTCCCATTCCAGTTAGCTCAGATACCTCAGTCAACTCTCTCTGCCCTACCTTTGTTCCTCTGCTTCATTCACCTGTACTTTCATCTCCACTTCTATCTCCCAACCATTTTTTTTTAAAGATCTGGGTTTATTTATTTATTTTTTAAAAGATTTTATTTATTTGACAGAGAGAGATACAGCAAGAGAGGGAACACAAGCAGGGGGAGTGGGAGAGGGAGAAGCAGGCTTCCTGCTGAGCAGGGAGCCCAATGCGGGGCTCGATGCCAGGACCCCGGGATCATGACCTGAGCCGAAGGCAGAAGCTTAATGACTGAGCCACCCAGGTGCCCCTTCCAACCAGTCATTACCCATCTTCTCACATCACCTAAAGGAGAAAGTTCAGGAGAAAATCCCTCCCAAATCTGCCCCACTTTGACCACCAGAATTTTCCAAAAGTAAAGGCCAGGCTTTTATCCCTTTGGGTCTTTTTTTTTTTTTTTTTTTAATATTTTATTTATTTATTTGACAGAGAGAGAGTGCACAAGCAGGGGGAGCAGCAGAGGGAGAGGGAGAAGCAGGCTCTGCTGAGCAGGGAGCCCAACGGACGTGGGGCTCGATCCCAGGACTCCGGTATCAGACCAGAGTGGAAGGCAGACGCTTAACTGACTGAGCTACCCAGCCCTTCCCCGCTTTGGGTCTTTGTACATTTATTCTCTGTACTCAGAATGCCCTTCCCCATATCCTCCTGGTGAACTCCTTTTCTTGCTCAGTATCACTTCCTTCCTAATCCTGACTCCAAACCTGAATCAGAAGCCTCCTACAGGTCCACACAGCTCCCCAGTTGTCTTCTCAGTACTGATAACACTGGCTTACTACTGTCTGGGTCCAGGTCAGAATTCTCCACTCTGGACTCCCCAAGCATCCTCTTTATGTCTCTAGCACACAACTTAGGGCTGGGTATAAAGAGTACACTTGTAGAAGTGTGTGGAATCAAAGACAGAAACTCTAAGCCCAACATAGAAAGTATTATAGTCAGTAAGAGCTTGGATTGAGAATGACCTCAGCATGGAGGATGTGTCATTTGGGGCAGCCCCCTTACCTAGCTTGGGCATACTTTGGGAAGGATGATGCTGGGAATCCAGACCCCGAAAGTCTTCTCACAGCCCCTCTTGGTGGATGGCCAGGAGCAGCCTGCTTCCAGGAGCAGGGGCTCAACTGCTTTGGCCAGCCATCAGGGGGATTACCATCCTCCTGCTGTGACCTACTTTACCCTGGTTTTTGCTAAGTCCCTGCTCTTCCCTGGAATTGACCGACCTGGAGTGTGTGCATGGGGGTGGGGACAGAATCTGCTTTCTGGCCAGGGGCTTAAGAGCTTTGTATCTTTTATCCCAGAACTGGAGGAGAGGGGTGGGCTGATAGCCAGACTGGGCCCTGGACACATCTGCCCAGGCCAGAGCATAATGGTGATGGTGTGTCTCACATTTACAGCTCTGTGGACATGGAATAGCTTCTTGCTCAGGGGAGAGACTGGGCGCTGAATGTCCTGAACCCAGTCCCTCTGCATCAACATACCTCTTCATCTCAGGACCCTGTGTTCTTTGCCAGAGTCCAGACCAGCATCTGCCAGTAGCAAGGGCTCAATAAATACTTGTTGGATTTGCTGAATGTCTGTAAAACTGGGGTGTTGTGTGTGTTTCTAAGCCCCACCAACCCTAGAATTCCATATTACTCTTAACCTTCACAACAACTCTGTGGGGTCAGGATTATGATCCCCATAAAACATAAGAAAAATGAGGCTTGAGGAGAAGAGTCTTGCCTAAGGTTACACAGCTGTGAAAGTGTCAGAGCTTGGGATATGATCCCAGGTTTGTTTGACCCCAAAGTCATGCCCTTAATCACTAGACTTTTGGAAGTGACCTTTTTGGGGGGGGGGGGGGAGGTGGGGGAGCAACGATTTTTAAAGGTGTTTTTTAATTCTTAATTTTTTTAAATTTAAGTTCAATTAACCAACACACAGTACATCATTAGTTTCAGATGTAGTGTTCAACAATTCATCAGTTGCGTATAACACCCAGTGCTCATCACATCATGTGCCCTCCTAATGCCCATCACCCGGTTATTCTGCCCCACCCACCTCCCAAAGGTGTTTTTTTTAAATAAAATTTTTTATGAAACTCTGCTATGTAAAACAGACCATGATGTTTTATTACTTTTAATTTATTTTTAGGTTTAAAGTATAACATTAGCTTATAAGTCAATTAAAGATAATTTCATGTATGAAGTAAATAATATTTTAACAAATGAACCGACAGAAATGAGGTAGATGGAAGGAGGTTAGAATGCCCTTATTACCTCCGGCATCTACTTTTCCCCCCTGTAATTTGGGTTTATTGTAAAGTAATGAGATAATTCTGATCTTCTAGAGATGTCTTAATGGTAACAATTTTTTTTAATCTACTTGATTTGCAGTTTCAGAATACACTTAAATTCAATAACGAATTAAAACAAAACAAAATTAGTTTAAAACAAAAAACCGTTACTCCGATGTTAGCCCAAGACTCACTTCACCTTCACTGATCCTCAAGTTAACCATTTGCAACTCCACTGTGATGCAGGCCAAATTTAACACTTCTGAGGGCCTCAATTATTTTAATTGCAGTAAAAAAAAGTGATTTGCTAATGAAATTTAAATCGATCCTTTGCGGAGGCACTGCCAAAAACTTCTGTTGAAACGCACTACGTCCCCACCTTTGCACTACAGGGCGTCCTTCTGCCCTAACCAGAAATTTGACAGTTTCTTCCTACCCCCCCGGTAGGAAGGTCCCTCCCGGTGCCCTATAGTGGAGGTACTTTCAGGGTTACTTAGACTCACCCAAGGGAGAGAGTAAGTTCCCGCTTCGAAGGCGTTGATTGGCAGGCCACGCTCGGAGCCGCGATTAAACGCGTAGCCAGTCTCTCCCGAGGTCCTCCCCCTCCCCGCCCCAAGGGCGGCCTGGGTTTGTTTTGGCGTAAAGCGCGCGCTGTGATGACGTCACGACGCTGACGCCTGAGGATGGCGGCGGCGGCGGTGGCGGCGGCGGCGGCGACCCTGTCCGCGGTCCGGAGAGGGTCGGCACAGCCGCCGAGACGCCGAAGACCCCGCCGTCCGCGCGAGGTGAGGCGGCCCGGCCCAGGGCGACGGCCCGACGGGCGGGAGGGGCTAACGCCCTGCGGCCACGGTCGCTTCCTGGCGCCCTGGGCCTATTTCTGCCCAGCCCGGAGCCCTCGGCCGGAGCCCGGTGTGCCGGGGCCTACGGGACTGGGGAGCAGGCCAGGCGATGGCTGCTAGGGATCCCTGGTGTTCGAGGCTGGATGGGCCTCAAAACATGCTGCTGTGCTGGGTTAGCCCGTCTCTGGGGCCGCGTGGGCCTGGTGGACGTGGTCAGCTTCCCTGCCTGCTGTTCAGCCAGCCGGCGTCGGTCAGGGTGAACTAAGCAGATTATCCTCACTGCCTTCTCGTGTCCGGCACCTACTTCACACCCCTCCTTTGCGACTGAACGCTAGCAGTTGTCGGGGCAGCTGGTCGCTTTCGTGTTCAGGCTGGGAAAAAGCAGGCTTGAGAGTAGCCGCGTTGCTTGCTCCGCAAGCCATCATCCTTCAGCTTATAAGAGGAAGCCCAGCTCCCCACGCTCACTCCCCCGCCACGAAGCTGCTGAAGTGATAATTCCCACCTGAAAATTTGAATAAGTCCTTCACTGCCTGAAACTGGATCCCTGGTGCCTACAGGATGAAGTCCAAGCTTCATAGCAAGGCGTTCAGGGCTCTTCATAATCTGGTAGAGGCCTAATCCGGAAGTCAACACCTGGGCACTTCTGCCCTCTGTTAGGGCACGTGAGCCCGCTGTGCTCGGTGTTTTAATACCCTTGTACTTTAGATATGCATTTTGTAATACTCTTCTTTAGCCCCACCCCCAATCACCAGAATGGAAAATTTACATCTGTCCTTTAAAATCCACCTTAGATTTCATTTTCTTTTCCAAGGGAAAAGTCTTACTTTCTTCACACGTAACCATTGGCTCCTCTGTACTTTTATTCATGTGACTACTGTTGAGTATATCATGTTGTGTCACTCGATGGTGGGTCTGGGTCTCCTGTCTGCATCTGAGTGTCTGGCGTAAAGTAGGAGCTGAATGGACTGGGATAGGTTGCTGGTTTAAGACTAGGAACAGGTTCACTGTATTATTGAGTCCCTGTCAGGGGCCAGGATCTGACATGAGGACAGCAGGTGGGTATCTCCTGTTTGAACATGCACATATATTCATGTGGTAGGTGGTGCAGCCTTGTCAACTTTGGTGGTCTAAAATCTCTTGGGGTAGTTTTTCAAGATAGAAATTCAAGACTCTCACTCTCTGATATTTGGATTCAGAAGATCTGGAATCTGGTAGGAATCTGTTTTGAAAAAAACACCTCAGGTGACTTTACTCTGCTCCCTGGTTGAACATCTTTGTCATTGCACTAGGAATCTGTTGTGTCTTCTTTGTCCAGTGGGAAGGGCTAACTGTGCGGTGTAGTCTCATTGCCCATACTTGGGAAGGCACTGTGATTTGCTGGTTTGGAGTCAGAAAGGGCTTGGATTTATGGGCTTTGGAGTCAGAAAGACTTGGATTCAGTTCTTGTTTGTGAGATCTTGAGGTCCTTTGAGCCCGATTTTGCTCATTCCAAAATAGCAATAATCATGCCTACTGTGTGTGGTTGCACAGAGGAGTGAGAGTGCACACAAGATGCTTAACACAGGGGCGCCTGGGTGGCTCAGTCGTTAAGTGTCTGCCTTTGGCTCAGGTCATGATCCCAGGGTCCTGGGATCGAGCCCTGCATTGGGCTCCTTGCTCGGCGGGAAGCCTGCTTCTCCCTCTCCCACTCCCCCTGCTTGTGTTCCCTCTCTCTCTGTGTCTCTCTCTGTCAAATAAATAAAATCTTAAAAAAAAAAAAAAAAAAAAAGATGCTTAACACAGTTGGAACTCGGGCAATGGAAGCCACTTAGTACTAATGACTGTTTTTCCCAGAGTGTGTCCCTTGTCAAAAGGAGATCTCAGGAAGCCCATTTGCTCTCCAGACTGAGCCTCATGTAGGAAGCTGCCTTATATGACTTCCTCGAGGTAATTTCTGCATATCAAGGAAAGCTCTGACAAAACTGTGCTTCTACTCAGGGCAGTTGCACTTGGTCATTCCTCTAGAAGAGATTTGGAATGCTGATTCCCTAGAGGGTGGGTTTGCTGCATAAGCACTTTGTCTCCTTCTAGTTGCAGTTCCTTTGCTTGTTAAATTGTATAAATGAGCAAAGTGCAGCTCTCAGGAAACCTGTTTGCCTCTGACCCTGAGCTAGAGTTGCACCTCACCTGGAATGGAATACCCCTGCAGATCCTACTGTCCATGGAATCTGAACTAGATACGGGGGATCTTTGTCAGTCACAGTTCATAGTTAAATGAGTGAGGCTTTGGTTTGGCCTTCTGTCTTATCTTATAAGTGTTAGGGTGTTCTTTGGGCAATTTTATCCTCTTCAGAGCTTCCCGACTGTGTGATATGAATGAGCTATAGGTGTGCCAAAGTATTGAAGCCTTAAGCTTCCAGATCGCCCAGAACAGCTGCCCCCCTCAACCGCAGGGTGCACAGAGAAAAATCGGAGAAGTACAGCCCTGGAGGAACGGAAGCAATTCTGCTTGTTGAGAACTAGAGAGAGACTTATTTATTTGAACTCCTTTTCCTTCCAAGAATCTTACTCAGTGACTATTAAGTGGATTTGTGTTGGCTAGGGCATCACTGAGCTAATTCTTGGGACAGCCTTCTGTTGCCGTGGTGTCTGATATGATGCTAAAGTAGAAAAATGTAGTGTTTTCATTTTGTGGGAGAAAATTATCTCGGGGGCGCCTGGGTGGCTCAGTTGGTTAAGCAACTGCCTTCGGCTCAGGTCGTGAACCTGGAGTCCTGGGATCGAGTCCTGCATCGGACTCCCTGCTCAGCGGGGAGTCTGCTTCTCCCTCTGATCCTCCCCCTCTCATGCTCTCTGTCTCCCATTCTCTCTCAGATAAATAAATAAAAAAAAAAAAAGAAAAGAAAATTATCTCAGAGGGTCCCCTTCCAGACTGCCAGTCTTGAAGTGGCCTCATAGGACATCATAAGAGAGACTCTTGGTGTGGAACCATCTGTGTATAAGTTCCTTGAGAGTAGAGATTATGGCAGCCTTCTTTTTGTCTGTCACAGCCCCTGGCTGAGTTCCTGGCCCAGAGCAGGAGCTCAGTAAATATTTGTGGGTTGAGCCTTGGGATTTTGGAAGGAGGAGCCCAGATACATTGCCAGAGTCTGTATTTCTCATGATGGGCTGGCCAGTGGGTGGGATGTCTTAGATGGAGCTGGGGTCATGATAAAATGAAGACACAGCAAACTTTTTAACTTTTCTGCTTCTCTCAGCCCTAAGACCAGAATCTCTGCCCACCAATTATTACCATGTAAAGCTTGGTACCTAGCTGGAGTCCTTGAGAAGTCGTGTCCTGAGTTACTGTATTCCAAGAAGAAGTCATAACAATTTTTATTACAAAATAATATTAAAAGTTAAAACATAGGTGTGAATGATGCACAGTGTCTTCAGACACAAACACTAAGAATTTGGTATGTATTCTGGCACTTTAAAAAATTCATATGATAGTCTCTATGTCTACAATATATATTTTTGTTAACTTTAAAAATGTAATATGTGGTGATGATTTTTTTTTTTTAAGAATTTATTTATTTGACAGAGAGAGACACAGCGAGAGAGGGAACACAAGCAGGGGGAGCAGGAGAGGGAGAAGCAGGCTTCCCGTTGAGCAGGGAGCCCCATGCGGGGCTCGATCCCAGGACCGTGGGATCATGACCTGAGCCGAAGGCAGATGCTTAACGACTGAGCCACCCAGGTGCCCCTATGTGGTGATGATTTAAAAAATAGCAACAGCACAGGAATATGTATAGTGAAAAGTGAAAGTCTTCCTTCCTTCCTTCCTCCCTTCCTCCCTCCCTCCCTTCCTTCCTTCCTTCTTTCCTCCCTCCCTCCCTCCCTCCCTCCCTCCCTCCCTTCCTTCCTTCCTTCCTTCCTTCCTTCCTTCCTTCCTTCCTTCCTTCCTTCCCTCCTTCCTTCCTCTCCCTGTTCCCTTCACATTTACACACCCTAGAGGCAGTCACTGTCAACAGTTTGTCTTTTCCCTTTCCAGGATATTTTTCCCACATATATGTCTGTATCTTTTTTTAAACCCCTCATTGGACATATGCTTCAGATACTATTTTAAACTACTTATTACATCATGGATATGGGTTCTGGCACGAAGCCATTCAATAAAATTGACTGGTATCTTTCTTTCTTTGTCAGTATATATGGATTTACCTCATTCATTTCAACAGCTTCAGAGTGTTCCATTATATGAATGGATCTTAATTTATGTAATTATTCCCTTACTGATGGATATTTGGGTAATTCCATTTTTTCATTATTATAAAGAACATTGCCATGAACTTGCTTGTACAAATATATCTTTGCATACTTGTGGAAATGGTTTTATAGAATTATTTCTGAAAATGGAATTGCTAGATGCAGTGTCCGTTTCCTTGCTTCAGAAAGCAGACTCACATAGCTCCCCCTAAGGTTGCTGAGATCTTTGTTCGGGAGTTTTCATCTAAAGAGACAAACTCCTTTTTTTTTTTTTTTTTAAGATATTTATTTATTTTTATTTGACAGAGAGAGACACAGCGAGAGAGGAAGCACAAGCGGGGGAGTGGGAGAGGGAGAAGCAGGCTTCCCGCCGAGCAGGGAGCCTGATGTGGGGCTCGATCCCAGAACCCTGAGATCATGACCTGAGCTGAAGGCAGACGCTTAACCGACTGAGCCACCCAGGCACCCCTGAAGAGACAAACTCTTTTGCCTGGTGTCTCTGCTTGCCTCATGATGGTTAAAAGTGTTGTTTAGCAGTTACTTATTTCTGGGATTACTGGAGATTACTGCCTACTTCATTTTAATAGATAGTCTTTCAAAACAGGGGAGCATGATATAGAGAAGCTTTTCTGTGGAGAACAGTCTTAGGGGACGTTACTGGAGAGGGCAGGGTGCCTATGGGCCTCTGCCTGGGACACAGCCACAGACTCGATTTATGT